ACGGCTGAACCGATTTGACTAATTTTGGTCTTGAATTATTTGCGGAAGCCAAGAGAAGGTTTAAAAGATAGATTAATATGAATTAAATAAAAATTATAATTTTGATTGTGTTTCTACTTCTAAGTTAACATGAATCAATCAAACAAACAAACGAGCCTAGTCGAGCTGAGCCGAGCCGAGCCGAGCCGAGCCGAGCCGAACCGAACCAAACCAAACCAAACCAAACTAAACTAAACCAAATCAAATGCAACTAAACTAAAGTAAACTAAACCAACCTAAACTAAAATAGTTCAAATCAAAACAATTTATTTTAGATATGTCATTATTTCAGAATTCGGTGTTCCTGGGTCCGGCAGTCAGCGTGCCCCTTATGCTTCTAGCAGTGTATGGGATAGGCAGTGACGACGACCCCCTGCCTATAGTGTGGAGTCTCGCGAGGGCTTGCTCCTTCCTCAGATATACTAAGTCTCGCTAAAACTCGAAAACGGCTGGACCGATTTGACTAGTTTTGGTCTTGAATTATTTGCGGAAGCCAAGAGAAGGTTTAAAATATAGATTAATATGAATTAAATAAAAATTATAATTTTGATTGTGTTTCTACTTCTAAGTTAACATGAATCAATCAAACAAACAAACAAACAAACGAGCCGAGCCGAGCCGAGCCGAGCCGAGCCGAGCCGAGCCGAGCCGAGCCGAGCCGAGCCGAGCCGAGCCGAGCCGAGCCGAGCCGAGCCGAACCGAACCAAACCAAACTAAACTAAACTAAACCAAATCAAACGCAACTAAACTAAAAATATCAAGCAAAATATCAAGCCGCAAATCGAAAGAAAAACTGTATAATGTTTTTTTTGTTAATCTTAGTCATTATATTCGGTTTTGTTTGGATAAGGTTAAATTTAAGACTGATGTTTTTATTATATTCACATAATATAATAACATATTGGAAGGTAAAACTAATATTGTGATTTGAGAATGTAATATAATAATAAATTGAGTGTGAAATATTAGAAGCTTTATTTCTTGTACTGATATTTTAAGTAGTAAATAATATTTTCCCGAAAAACATAGATATAATCGAAATTTATAGGCAAAGATATTAGTATGTACCTACAATACAGAGTTTGACCTCCTTTTTCAATAAAAGTGACGGAATTCACGTTGTAATGTTTACGGGTTTGATATACCCCCTTAACACCAGATAAGTCGTGAGCTTGTTGGCCGGTCCAAGTAATAAATAGTTTCTACCGAACATATTTCTGTCTACTCTATTACTTTTCTTCTTTTTTCCTTTTTATTCCTTCTTCTTTACTCTCTATTGGGGATAGTACAGAATAAAATGCGATCAATAATAATAAAAACGTCTTTTATTTAGGTATGCAGTATTCGTTATCGCTTATTCAAATAAGATCACACAATTTTCTTATAAAAGAAACAAAAAAAAATTTGACTAGGAAGTCAATACGCCACTTAATGTAAAGAAATGTATTATCGAATAACACCTGACATAAAACGTTGATAAAAAAAATTATAATACAATACTCAACTAATCATCTACATGTTCTGTTCGTCTATAATTTCGATAAGTTATAATTTTACGATTAACTTTTTCCGGAAAACTTTAAATTGCATCATCCCCTAAAACACTTCTAAGATATGAATTATACAACTACTAAATTTACAAAATGTTAAATTCAACAGTTTAGTTTACTATTATATACTTAATATTTGCTAAGTGCGAGTCTAAGTGTGTTTTATGGAAAGATCCAGAGAGAATTTTAACTTCTTCAATTAGACTGAGGCCGAAATTAATTCTTCTTTCCCATAGCTGTGATAGTCCTTGCTCAAACGTGGTTTGAAAGGAGTCACAGCGTGATAGTAGGATCTGGCATTGCCGATATGCGTTAACCTCTGTGACTGGTTACAAGATAAGCCCTTAACTCTTTTGCGTCTATAGGCAATGAAAGATAGAAACCGACAATTGTACCAGAGTTTTTTTTTTGATGAAGCGCGCATTATAGATATGCTAGAACACTACGATAAGCATTTGGCTTTGCCCGTGACGTTGCTGATGTCCTTGAGCGATGGTGATCCCTCATCATCCGTACGCTCGCCGACAAGGGCAATAAATATTTAGAACTTGATCTTATATAATGTTCACCTAGAACAAGTCACGTACGTAAATCTCATTAGGCTTTATAAGATAAAAATTAAAAACTACCCACTTATTTTGTGAAGCGCACAAAACTCGGGATAAAGTTTAAAAGTTAAGTCCTTATTAACAACATAAAAAAGCAGTCTCTTATTTTAGTTCATTACAAAACAATTAAGAAGGAATGTATTCGCTTAAAAAAATATTACCTTAGATTTTCATTAGAAATTACATTCACGACACAAGAGAGTTTAGTAAAATATCTGTATTACAAATAAATACGTGTATTTTATTAAGCAAATTGTGTAGTAAAAGGTGCGCTAATGCGCATTTTCGTAAAAGTAGGGCTACTTTTTGGCCTAAGATCATTTGAGGGACTGGCAAGATTCTAAATTGGAACTTAATTACATTATTTTTGTCTAGTTTGAGCACAAGATATTAAAAAAGATGAACAGATCTTAGGTACCAGATTTTGAAATGTTTGCAGTAATCTGAGGTAATATGTACATACCTGATACATGTTCACGAACAGAAAAAAAACAGGTTCTAGTTTGAGTCTGATGTGGAGAAGAAATTTGAAAAACCAGGTAACTATTCTAATAACGTTTTTGATGTAAAAGCAACAATAAAACAAGAAATAAACATAAATATAAAAATTAAAAAAAAACTTAAGAACGTAAACATTTGTATAAAAATAAAATATTGCTACAAAATAACGAGTATTAAAATAATATCTATACATTACTAAAAGTATACACGAACTGAGATTTACATAACATTTTCCGCTAAAATCTAATTACGTTATAATTTTGTGATGCATCCGTTTGTACTCTAAGGTAAATGAGGATTCTAATGTCTACCACTGGTTTATGTAAGCTAAGTACATATATAAACTAACACACGTAGCTAAAGACGTTGCCTCGAATCCTTTTCTGATTTACAAAAACGTGGGCATTATTGTGGATAAAATTTGTTTACATTGCCGACTGTCGATACTTTTTGAAGTGAAACTTCTTTAGGCGCGTTGAGGGTAAAATTTAACTCGCGTTCAGAGTAAAATTTAACGGCTTGAGAGAAGAGATACAATTTACGAAGAGCGAGAGTGAGAAAATAGACAGAGCGTCTCGCGAACCACTCGACCGTGGGGAGAGGGAAAGGACAAAGCGAGCTAGATCGTTTCTCTTATACACAGCATTCCCCATTACAAGAGAAATTTAATTTAAGGATGAAAAATTAAGAAAACGACTATACTACACACCGCACAAGAAGTTTCACTTCTTTCACGCACGCTCGCCATTTTTTTTACAAACAGCCTTTTATTTTATAAGAAGTATCTACGTCGCCTTCAATTGCACAACCAAAATCAGCATCCAGTAATAATTTTTCAATTACTTTTTTTTTATAGTGCAATTTGAGTTTTTCAAATACATAATATATTTTAATATATTTCTATTTTAAGTATATTTCATCCCTGAGAACCTCCCAATCTCACTATAGGATTGTAGTCAACATTTCTAATTTGACAATTAATTGAGATTATTTTTAAAGTATCCTCGACGGAGACGAGGGTCGAGGAAATTTCGAGGTAACGCCTTAAGATGTAGTTTATAAACTGACATACACCATATGTATATTCGTAAGCTGTACCGAGTGCTTATATCATCTTTACTGTAGCTTAATGTACTACTTACAGTTCAGCCACAAAAAATTGGAAGATTTAGGAACAATACAAAATATTTCGCAAATTTATTTGGTCGAATGCGTCCGTCTTTTTTCTTACTATGTATCTTTTAAAGGCGTCGGCCGTGAGGCGTCGTCATAGGATAACACCACTCCTTTCTCCTAAGTATCGTAAAGGCGACTTAAGGATCCACGGGAGAGTGGGAAAGCCGTTTCTTATATAAATAAAAATTGAGAAATTCAATCTCACGTGTCGAGGTGTGTGACAGTGTTCACATTGTGATACCCACGGGCTTCGGTAATAGCCTAACACCAGATGAGATTTGAGCTCGATCACATATCTACACAGTAAACAAAAAACTTTACGCTTGTTTTGTTTACACGACAAAAATTTTGCCAAAGACCAAAGTAAAAAATATTTACATGCATTCTTTCTAACAATATTTGCAATAAGAGTCTTTAAAAAAGTCGAATGGATATCTCAAGCTTACTCTAAGCACTCGACAAACAACAAATAAGAGCTTTAGTTTGTTCTGAATTGATTAGTAAAAAGCACACGTAAAAACTTATTGTAAAATATGTATATAGAGCTACATAGGTACTATTACATTTATACATACATATTTGTATTTACATAAAATCCACATTCCACTATCCCGGCACTTATAAATACTTACGTTAATGGTAACAATCATTTCTCTAAGTGTCATCTAACATATCATCTTCTCGCATTAAAACGGTATAATCTCAAAACTTACTAATTTTACAGGAGAGTGTTTTAAAGGTTTAACATGTGATATTTTTAATATTAATCATCTTTGCACATTGATACATTATCTGTCTTTTAAAGTAAGATAAAATGATGTATTAATTTTGTTAATAGTAGCCTAAATATAGGTAAATTAAAAAAAAAAAAGTAAACCACGCTCTTTTGACAGTATTCATGAGAAAAATACTGGTGATACCAAATGATTCCGCATATTAACTCAATTTCGAATGTTTTTGGAAATTGTACACTTTTAATGCGAAAAAAACTATGTTGGGTCGTCACGCAGTCCTTACGTGACCAGTAAAACTGTAAAAACGCCTTGAAAACGTGAAAATTTACCAAAACTAAAACACGAGCTAAAATCGTAAAAGTGGTTCTCAATCACGTCTCGTGAAAATTCTAGAACATCTTAAATTAGATTCGTTATTTCGATATGAAATTATTTTGTTAATAGTCAATAGAAATTTCTGAAGATTACATTCTAACGCAGACTAAAAATAGTTTTAAAATTTGTTTATCTCACAACTAAAATGGAATGTACAATTCTTAACGCTAAAAGTGTCTACTTAGTACGGTTTGTTCAAATCATAATTACTAGCAGTCTTTAACTGTCGCTTATGTTCAAGCCCCGCTCACGATTAGAAATTGTGGCTATGTCATGCATCACATTACAATATTGTGATGCTATAAATGATTTATTCATATTTATACTACCAGTTGAAAAAGAGGATATTATCATGAAATAAAAAAAAAACCAAGAAAAATTAATTAATCGACACAAAAACCACGCTTGCGATTTCAATACGTTGTTGACTTTAAGAATGTTTTAAATTGTTTTTGAATTCGAGACAAAAATATGTTTTACGTAATTAGATTCTCACAAACAAGAAATCAAAGGGCGCCTTCAAATTGTTTTAGATACAGCGCCTATTTATATTTTATACGATCTAAGAGCACCTAAGTATACAATAATTTTAAGTACGCGATATAAAAGTGTAAACACATAAATAGCAATTCATGTAGACAGTAGTTTTACAATAGAAATCCTTCCGTGAATTAATTGTTTTTAATATATATATTTGTTAATAATTACTTGTGGTACTACATCTCGATTAACCGGATTAATATGTTTTATAGATTTATTTTTTAATAGCCGAAGATATATCAAAACATTGAAAGTTACGTCATATTTAAAATTTCCCGACTATTACGTTAATGTTTTACGTTTTATTATTTCAAGATCACTAAGTACTTTTGTATGTGCTTAGACAATCATAGCTCTATCGTTTTTAAACATATTTATTGCTTATAACTCGATTTAACATTGTCCTATCTCATGTATTAACTGAAGCCTAAAACTAATTTGTAATAAATCATTCACGTCTATCCGAAAATCTGATTCCTAAATCTAATCTCCTACAAGTAACGTCATTCATTACACGTCAAATATAAAACCAATTAAATACTTGGATCAGTTGAGTTTAAAAGGTGAATTGCTGACTCGGTTTGTCTTCGTCGCATTGTTCTAGATGTAGATCAGTGCGTTCCGTGTCTAAGCACGCGTCCAGTTTCTCGTGTCTTATGAGTTGACCCTTCCGTGTCCAGAGCTGGGCGTCGTCCGAAGGGTCGCAGGGTGCTAATACTGCCGTGACACGATCCTCGTTGGACAAGGAGACGCAGAGACTGTGATGTCGGATGAGGCCGTTTTCGAAGAGCCATCCCTGATTGCCTCCCGTGTAATGGCAAGGATACATTCCTGTCGAACACAAATGAGGATTTTATAAATTTTTTTTATTGCTTAGATGGGTGGACGAGCTCACAGCCCATCTGGTCTTAAGTGGTTACTGGAGCCTATAAACATCTACAACGTCAATGCGCCACCCACCTTGAGATATAAGTTCTAAGGTCTCAGTATAGTTACAACGGTTGCCCCACCCTTCAAACCGAAACGCATTACTGCTTCACGGCAGAAATAGACAGGGCGGTGGTACCTACCCGCGCGGACTCACCAGAGGTCCTACCACCAGTAAAACACTCAGTCTTTTGGCGACGGACCGTGAAGAGTGAGATGAGGACTGCTGGAATGACCTGTGATGTCTAGGAGCAAGCGCAAGATAAGTTCAAGTGGAGACAACTTGTGAGGGCTCTATGTACCAGCGGGGTACCTTAGGACTAAAACAACAACAACTGTTTGAACGTCGAATGTGACTAGTTGAATGTCAATCTCATTATTGTTTAGTATAAAGTTTATTGGAGTAAATTGGTCACCAGAGAGCATAGGCATTAACAAAGTAATTTCCGTCATTCACCTTGAGACATGAGTTCTAAAGTCTCAGTTTTAACAGTACAACGGTTGCCCCACCCTTCAAACTGAAACACGTATTAACTTATTCATGGTAGAAACAGGCAGGGTGGTGGTACCTACCTATGCGGGCCAACAAAACGCCCTACCACCAGTAATTACGCAAATCAAATTTTTTGCGGGTTCGATTTTTATTACACGATGTTATTATTCCTTCACCGTGGAAGTCATTCGCGGACATTAGTTAAGCACGTATTTCCTAAAAAAAAAATGGTGCCTGTTAGCGAGATTCGAACACCGGCACATCGCATCGCTCGATACGAATGCACCGTCTTATCCGTTAGGCCATGATTACGTCAAACGAATCTAAAATAATAGTTTTGAAAGTTAGTAGAGTACATTACCTATCGTCCCGTCGACCAGATGTCCCATGGTGTCTAGGCATCTTATTCCTTGTTTTATAGGATGGGGTCCCCCTAATTGGGCTGGTATTTTGAGTTCAGGGTACACGTGTTGTAAGTACCAACGGAACGGCTTGCAGTGCAGTTTGTCGCGTAAAGTGACCCGCTCGGATATGCTACGACAATTGATTGAGATTATGAATATATAGGGTTTTATTTGGCAAGTTAAAAAATATTTAAATTTAAAAAAATAAAAGTGTTTTTTTTAAATCAATTTTTAAGTGTGAAACTTTTGAGTATTGTTTTAATAAAAGGGACAAGAACAATTCAAATAGTTTGCTCGACTTAGGGGTTCCATTTTCATTTTCTTGTTTATTCATTATAATCACAATGTTTACTATAGCAATGAGCCAAGGTACTTACAGTCTACCTAAGTTAAGCAATTGTCTGGGTTTATTTATTTATTTGCTTAGTAACAAAGTGATCATCAATACAAAACATTGACAAATTTACAATAAGCACCTGACAGATGTCACCTCAATTATAGATGAAATCGACAGTGCAATACTTGACAACATCTTGAAATTAGAAAAGTAAGAATAATTGAATAAAAATAAAATGAATAATTTTAATAAATATGAAATCCAGAATAATACTTTTTAACTAAGTAACAGTTCGAAAATAACACATCAGGTGCCATTGTGCTATTATGTACCTTGAGACATGAGGTCGAAGTCTCAATTGTATTGTATAACGGTTGTCCCACCCTTCAAACTAGTACGAATTACTGCTTCGCGATAGGAATCGGTAGGACTGTGAAGTCTACCCGTGCGGCCTTACAATATGCACTAGATTACACACTTTTATAAATGTTGTGTGTTTGATTCTCATTATACGATATTATACTTTTTTATTTATTGTTTAGATGGGTAGACGAGCTCACAGCGCACCTGTTGTTAAGTGGTTACCGGAGCCCATAGACATCTACAACGTAAATGCGCCACCCACCTTGAGATATAAGTTCCAAGATCTCAGTATAGTTACAACGGCTGCCCCACCCTTCAAAACGAAATGCATTACTGCTTTACGGCAGAAATAGGCGGGGTGCTGGTACCTACCCGTGCGGACTCACAAGAAGTCCTACTACCACTAAATCCTTCATTGTTGCAGGCATTCATGAACTTGCTTTTGCATAAAGTATTTACACAGCTACAGTAATCGTCGTATCGCACGATACGAGTAAAAATGGTACCTTATATTTTAGGAGACGTTGAGGGATTAAAGACTTACTCTCCAAAGTCGACTTGCTTCGCGAGTGGTTGAGATCTATAGTATAGTTCTTTGTAATCGTCCATCCAGACTTCGGCCGCCCTTCTGGTATTCCTCGCGAATACCGCCCCGGAGCCGCCGGGGAATGTATACGGATGGCGTTTCCTGAAGACATGACCCACACGGGAACAAGGCACGATTTCGAGGGAGCCTCCGCATTGCCAAACTCTGTAATGAAAATATAAAAAAACTTGAACGCGCTATTATTTGAGCGTAGACGTGCAGATGACAGTAGACTTGATATTATAAGCTTTTATCAGTGACATGAGTTTTAAAGTCTTAGTTTTTAAGTATAACAATTGCCCCATATCATTTTTGCTTTATTATAGAAATAGCTTCCCGACCATGCGGACCGAATGGAAACCAGTCGACGTCGCCCAAAATACGTAATTTCGGATCCCGATCCACTAACGGTGCTTTTAGGTACCTCAAGCACCGGTTATCGTTCTCGTCGAACCTATCGCTTCTGACGAAGGGCTCGACGAGTAAATGAACCCACAGAGCACAGCCCACTGAGTTTCTCGCCGGATTTTCTCAGTGGGTCGCGTTTCCGATCCGGTGGTAGATTCTGCGAAGCACGGCTCTTGCTAAGGTTCGTGTTAGCAACGTCGTCAGGTTTGAGCCTTGTGAGCTCACCTACTAATTCGGCGAATTTAGAATAACCCCTGGAGCTTACTAGAATAGGCAGGAAAAAAAACAGATATAGACCGGGTGATGTTACTTAATCGTGCGAGCTCAAAAGATGTTCTACCACCAGGAATTATGCAAATAATCATTTTTATGGGTTTGATTTTTATTACACCATTTTATTTCTTCACTGTGGAAGTGGTCGTGAACATATGTTAAGTACGTATTTCCTTAGAAAATGCGGTGCCTGCTCACAGGATTTGAACACATTTGAGCACATCCGCAACTCGTGATTCGAATGCATCAGGCGTTTTATCCTTTAGGCCACGATTACTTTGTCACTTACTAAGTTTTCGCGCAATCCCTATTTGGGACGGTTCTAGAAGGAATCTGTTTCTATCAATAACAAGATTACCTGAATGAAATTTCCAAGTTCTCTCCTCCCCACACGTCCATTTTCATATCGTATTTCCCGAGTTTGTTGAAGTAAAGTCGGTCCATGCTGAATAGTCCACCAGCTATCATAGGGGTCCTGATTACTTGAGTGGGATCAGTGAGACGGGCGCTACGTTCCGTATGCGATAAGTATTCCCACTGCAAGAAATTTCCATCATGTTAAACAATCAATCAGGTGACTATGAAGAAAAATAAAAAGTGGATTTTGAATTGAATAAAAAAAAAACATGTGTGCAATTCACATGTGGTAGAAGAAGAAGTGAAGACTTTCGTATATATTACATAGATTTATTCAGAATGTATTATGTACGAATCTTAGGTACGAAGCAGAGCACAAAGAGAGCCAAGAATATAAGAAACACTGCATAATGCTTCCTATCTCATTTTCTCTCACGTTAAATCTTATCAATTTATGTGTCTGTCTCTTTTTACTGTCGCTTTTTAGTTTCATCGACTTTCGAATTACAACGATGATGTTAAAGAAGTTTTTACTTAAAAAATTTAGAGACACTAAAAGGGCCAAATGTAGTCTAGCTCCTGTTAGAGGCTACTAGAGTCAATAGACAACACAATGCGAGTGTCGCCGCCATCTTAAGACACGAATTGGAAGTTCCTATTGGGACCTCACTCTCCAGATTGGAACGTAACTGTGATTTGCGGTAGATTATGGTAATCTTCCAACCTTGCTAAAAATACTTCTAAGCTCTAGGAAAATTTGGTAGATGTTGTTAATAAGGGCAAAACTCTTTTTCCCCTAGCGAAAGAGTACTTCTTTTAGGAGGCTATAGTAGCAATAGCTAAAAGTAGCCCGATCGTGTTTTCTGATCCATATTATCCGTGTACGATCCCCTGATAAAGCGTAATGAAGACGTTCGAAGTGAGATGGAAATTCGACTTTATTGGCTGAAGCAAATAGCCTTCTGATGATTGTAATCAAATTTACAAACACATTAACGACGCACACTGGAAATAGGCACAATAAACTTATTGTGTTTAGCTGGTATTAGTTCAGTGCATGCTTAGCTTTTCAAAATTATTTGTGGCTTTAATTCTGCTAATACGCTTGGGATCAAATATGTATCTAAATATACGATCAAATGCCAAAAGTATCTATAATTTACGACAATTCAGATTAGTATCTACAGCTCGTGAAAGAAAAATAAATTACATTTAAAACGGAAAAACAATTCCGTTGTTTCAAGCCCTCGATAAAGAAAAACAAATATGTAATACAAGGTTTACAAAATTTAGTACAAAAAAATGCGTGGCTGTTCGCCTTGATCACTGTTGTTAATTGTACGGATCTGTTGACAAATGGTTGCATAATCTCATCTTAAACCATAACGAATCGACTATAAATTATCATATTAATATTTACGATCCATTGAGGTTAATGTTCATCGTTGAATTACTGTATACGTCTTTGGATTCGACGTATTATTTCAGATTTACCATTCTAATCATATCTTTAAGGAGAATACAGGAGGACATGTTTAATAAATTGCGTCACTAACCGATTTAAAATTAATACTGCCATTATTATAAAAGTTTTATAGCCACTCTAGTTATTTTTAATATTGTTTCCAAGGAGGAGGCACTATAAGCCCACTCGTCATTGCAACATGAATCTATTGCGATTTCCCAGGGGTGTTAGAGGTTTAAGCCCATATCCAGGTAATAATAACATGCCTGTTTTCTTTGGAAATATTTTCTGCACCTCATGGAATATGCTCTTCCAGAATTGAGAAATATTTGCTTATATACAGTGGGATGTCTAGAGCTCAGTTTGTATGTGCGCCTTCGCAATCTATATGCGACCCGCGCTGGGTGATTGTCGGGTTAGTCCTGTATCCTTTGTATGGCTTTGACATGATTTTCCGGTTGTCTTTCCCTAGATCAATTTACTTTCAGTAAATCGCCAGAAACACAAATGACCTACATCAAATATTTATCACAAAATGACTCCTACAGAAGAATCTGGTCAGATCGAATCCGGATTCAGGGATATTAAAGTCCAAGTCACCTACTTAATTACAATTTTGGATACAGTTGTAGGCTTAGATATGTTGCCATTTTGGAACGTCGCTTGAGCTTAAATTTGCTCATTCAAACATTAATGAAATCAATATAGCACCGCAAGTAAAAGTTATCTGGTTCACCTTGAAGACTAAGTTCCAGTCAAAACCGCCTCGCAGGTCCGCCGACGCTCCGATGTATTGGAAGGTGTCCATGCTGATCACGTCTATAACTGGACACACGACGCGGGTTGGGTCCTGGAATATGAAACCGGTATTTTAGACCTGGCACTTGGTAGTCTATTATATTTTAGTAATATCATTTGCTAAGCACAGTTTTAGATACCATATTCACACTTTCATATATTCAGTACGGAGTCGCACACTTATAAAATAAGTATTTTTAAGGAATTTAAATAAAGAAGTTTTTTCCATCGCACAGATTGTTGAAGAGATCACGTAGCCTACTTGCACGAAATGATACATACTGGCCATTAATAAACGTTTGTTTTAAAAAACATGTCTGTCATTAATATTCTATTGTATTGATTTTAATATGAACGTAATGTCTTATAAAATTATAATGGTTGAATGTAAATAAAACAACAATATTATCTTACAGACCATTTTAATTATTATCACAGATTGACGTGTAGTTCTTAATCAAAAAAGGTATATTCACAATAAAATGAGGCTTATAAATTTATTATTTATTATTATTATTAATTATTATTCTTATATAAAATAAACGTAATTTTTAGTTTTGATCACTTAATTCGTGTTTCGAATATACAGTATTTATTAAAAGATCGTTGCCTAATATCGTGTTGGAGCATAACGAATCGACAATAAATTATCATAATAATATTTACGATCCATCATGTTTGAAGATCAAAAGATATTAAATCCACGGTGGGTGCTTCTCTATGGCTTGTAATCGCTGGGTGTTGCGATATTTTATGTCCAGACGAGAACTGCTTTGGGCATGAACCTACAGATAACGTGCCGCTCACCTTAAAATGTATGGATAAAGTTTCAACTGGGCATCGTAGATAGGAATGATTGATTCCCGATTCGCAAAATGCCTTGTCACTTGTATTTAAAATTGGAATTTGGAGGTATTAGATAAAACGCCAGGAGGCTGGATACGAATAATTTTACTACCCACATAGCAGTATATTGAAGTACCAATGTATTCTGGATTTGATAGCCCGCAAATCTGACCTATGTGCTTTTTTTTTGCTTTTGATGGGTGGACGAGCTAACATCCCACCTGGTGTTAAGTGGTTATTGGAGCCCATAGACATCTATGACGTAAATGAGCCATCCACCTTGAGATATAAGTTCTAAGGTCTCAAGTATAGTTACAAGGCTGCCCCACCCTTCAAGCCGAAACGCATTACTGCTTCACGGCAGAAATAGGTAGGGTGGTGGTACCTACCCGTGCGGCCTCACAAGACGTCCTACTACTAGTGCGAGTGCAAGCTGTCCATACCAATTTGAATTAACGTTTACGCGATCAAGAAATTAAAAAACTCTCTTTTTTTCCCTACCTATGCTGATAGCCTTGAGAGGCTATTTCAGCTTCACCCTAACGTGTAGGTGAGCTCACGGGGCTCAAACCGGAGTGTTGCTAACACTGGCTCTAGCAAGAACAGTGCTTCACAGAATCTACCACCGGATCTGAAACGCGACTCACTGAGAAGATCCGGCGAGAAACTCAGTGGGCAGTGTCTGTGGGTTAATTCGCTCTGTTATATATTTTTAATGTACCTAAAAATGCAATGTAAGGTGCACGACATAATGCAGCATAGTTAGGTTGCCGATAGATCACGCAGTTCAATTCTAACCGCGCTCCCGGTGACACTTGCCCCAATTAATTCCAATTGTTAATTTCAAATGTTTTAATTATTAGAATTAAATAAAGTTATTTTTTTTAAAAGCTTTTCTAATAAATCCTCGTAACAGCTCGTCGAGCTCTTTGTCGCAAGCGACGGGTTCGACGAGGACGATGACCGGATTACTCTCACCAAGCATACAATACATACATACGTTTGTAGTTCCATTAAGATGTTTAAAACAACGTACGCAGCTCTACAAGGATTGCCTTCACTAGTAAAAGTTTTAAGTGGAACATTGCGGAAACCTTATCGCCGACCGAACGAAATGTCAAGGCCGTTTAAAGAACTCGCTATTCGTGACCTGAATATGAGACTTTCAATAAAGAGAAGTCATTCTCAGTGGGTCGCGTTTCCGATCCGGTGCTAGATTCTGCGAAGCACTGCTCTTGCTAAGGCCAGTGTTAGCAACACTCCGGTTTGAGCCCCGTGAGCTCACCTACATGTTAGGGCGAAGCTGAAATAGCCTTAGTCCGCGCGGGTAGGTACCAGCACCCTGCCTATTTCTGCCGTGAAGCAGTAATGCGTTTCGGCTTGAAGGGTGGGGCAGCCGTTGTGACTATACTTGAGACCATAGAACTTATATCTCAAGATGGGTGGCGCATTTACGTGGGCTCCAGTAACACATAACACCAGGTGGACTGTAAGCTCGTCCGTCCACCCATCTAAGCAATAAAAAAGCCTCTCAAAGCTATCAGCATAGGTAAGAAAAAAAAATTGTTTTGAATGTTTCAGTGCATTTCAGAAGTGCATTGAAAAGGTTTGTTTGTCAATCGACACATTACTTAATTACACCCATGTATAATCACTTGACAGGTTAACTGGGCGATTCATTAGCGAAGAGCTTAAGTCGGTGTAAAATTTAAAATTTTGGCACATCATGCCTTTTATGTCGCAAGCATCCATTAAAGATGGAATACAAATTTTTCCCTTAAGGCGCTGAAATAACGATTGTATGCAAATCCTTCATTGATAAGGTATGAGGACGACATTTTATATCAGAAGCTACTACTAAGAGTATATATATAGGTATATAATATATATATTTTTTACCCCTCAGAGCGTAATAATCCGCATGAGCCAAGTTGGGCGCGGAAAGTTAGTACTTGTATAAGTCTATTTTTAAGCTATTGCATAGATTTTATCACGGGCCTTAAGCGCGGCTTGAGAGCGGAATCGTGAAATTCCGTAACGAAAAAAACCTTCCACCCCTCACTACGCCTACTACATAGCTCGCATTCAACACATTCACACGTTGCGATTGTTTAGTGTTTAAAGTAAGAAGTCTAAACACCGATTTATGTACTATCAAAATATGTGATATAATTTCGTGGGTAACACAACGATAGCGCGATTCAGCTTTTGCGTCTAGCGCCATCTATCGGCGACAAACGGAGTTGTAAAATAGAAAATTATGTCACATTACAATGGGTTGGGCGTGCCATGTTCTATCGCTTAGTCGAAGAATTTTATTACTACTCCTACTACTCATTCAGTGATTGGAGTGGAATTAAAAATAAACTAGCTAAATCGTTGATTCTGGACGAATGAGAGTTAGAACTAGCATCCAAAGGCGTGTCTCTATCCCATGTAGCGCCCTCTAGTGAGTGCGCGGTCAAAATGGAATACTCACAATGTAGCAGATTCATCGAAAGTTAGCCCACTGAGTTTCTCGCCGGATGTTATTTTATTGTTGTTTTAATATTAAATTATTATTGTCGATTTATAATTGTATAACTTGATAAAAAATGCTATGCAATAGCTTTACCGCGGCAGTCTCCGAGTGCCACACGTCTTTTTTTTTATTGCTTAGATTGGTGGACGAGCTCACAGCCCACCTGGTTTTAAGTGATTACTGGAGCCCATAGACATCTACGACGTAAATGCGCCGCCCACCTTGAGATATAAGTTTTAAGGTCTCAAGTATAGTTCAACGGCTGTCCCGTCCCACCTTTCAAACCGAAACGCATTACTTATAGGCGCGGTGGTGGTACCTACGCGGGCGGATTCACAAGAGGTCCTACCACCAGTAAAAAGTCTATATTTTTGTGTTCTCTAATGAGTGGGAATTACCGCTGTTCTCATGATTATGCTATATAAATAAAACATGTTTTATTTTGATCGATTACAACATAATATGGTCAGTTAATTGCTTCATAATTAATCGTAAAAAGGCTTGTGAATTTCGATACCAGTCATTTTAGTCGAATGAAGGTCAGACGTGTAACTCATTACTGCTAGATTAGCTCGGGTTGGGTCGTGCCCAAAGAAATGATCGGATCATCTCCATGTTAACTTAATTTGTCGTCTATTACATACTGTAAGTAAAAGTGGTATGTTAGTAAATAAAAAACGTGTTGTAATTTTCTTGTTACCAATAAATAGATTATATGCTACGTAAGATTTTTAAACAATTCCAAGGTTCATTTAAATTTTAAAATCATCTATATATTAATTCGTGAAGCAAAAACGTTGTATCCCTTTTTACGAAAATTGCACGGACGGAGGAGAATGAAATTTCCCACACTTATAGAGATTATAGAGAAGAAGTGCACAATGCTAATATTTTTTTAAAATAATGCGTAAAAGATACATTAAATCAATAAAGAAAACATTATACACACTACATACCGTGTATTTGACGCACACACGCATGCATACTATTTATTGTCAAACTTTGGTTCTTGATGTCTGTTGTCAAATTGAGATTAAATATTGTTTGTCTTTGTTAATATTTTTTATAGTGTAGTCTTGGCGAAATTTGTTGTTATAGAAGTATAAAATACAATCATAATAGTGTACAAACTGACAATTCCAATTAATTATAGTCGAATTTCGACTACTGCGGGACCTCTAGTATTATTAAATCTATGAAAATGAATCGCAGAAAGACGAACTCAAATTCAACGGTTTAAATATAAACGATGTCAAAGGGAATTGAAAGCGATTTGCTATAAATTCCGCTCGAAGCAATTTCAAGCGTAATTTAACGTGTTTATTAGTTTGCGCCATCGTTTCGGACATTAGGGCCGTCTTATACTTAACGCTATAGCTACTTTATAGCTAGACTCGTGTACGTGCATTACCGAGGATTGTATAACGGACGCTGAATAATAATCCAAATGTTGCTGCTGATCGTTTCAAAAACAAAATGCGAGTAACAATTATATCGAACATAAATTTAAGGTGATTGTAAAGTGTAGCTTTAATTATAATTCAGTATTTAATTGTTAAATTATGATTGTGTTTTCTATGCAGCAAAGAGTGTATAAAGAGTTTATAAATATCTTTTCATTATTGCCTTATCATACTCTTCTGAAAGATGAAATTCTTCAATATGTTGAATTAGCAGATCACAAG